CTATTTTGTTTAAACATCTTTGCTTTCAGTAATAAATGTCTGTACAGGTTCAGTAGATTTGACTGATCACGTAACCACCATAAAAAATTAGGAAATAAATATAAATTATGCCTCTTTCATTCTAGAATGACAACAAATTATAATACGAAAACATAGATGTTTAGACTAAATAGGTTAAATCTCATAACATTATACGTTTATATATATATATATTTTTTTTTTTATTATATTGATCTTTCACTCGTACCTGGCTAACAATATAGAAGTTACATTGACGTGGCTCACATGCACTCATGTTACTCTATCAAATAACAAGGTCTGTGCAAAGTAACTTGTTGTGGCTGTGTTTTAGTAGACTAGTATTTTGTAAACTACACTCACATTTCAATTATTATACATTATATATGTATAGAGATTATTGCTATTTTGAAATAAGTTCTTAAAGTTATTTTTCTTAAACACAGAACAGTAAATAAGTAAGTAAAGCAAACAATTATCTCTTCTTGTTATGACCTTTGCTGCTTAATGTAGGTTGCTAAGCCTTGAAAAATTTTGCACGTGGAGGACATGAAACAAATATTTTTTTTTAGATTTTATATACACATTTGAATAAATAAAAAATCATAAATTACTACATCAATACTATAATTTATCAAGCTTAGTAACTAACATGTATTTTAGTCTAAAAAAAATATGAAATTTCGAGCAGACTAAAGACACACCCCTACCTCCTTGAAATATTGTTTCAAAAGAAGAAAATGGCATCCAAGCCCATTAAAATGGCTGAGAAAGCCATTAGGAGGTCATTCCGAGCTTCCGATTGGTTATTCATGTCATATATAAAGTAAGTGTATATAAGGGAGCATTTCCAAAAATGAAAAGAGGTGGGCGGGGTGCCACTGTTTGATTTATTATATGAGCAATACCTTAGCTAATAGAAAAGATAAGACATTCTTATTTTATATTCTAGCTTTTCAATATTGGTAATTTGACTTCGCAAACACCTAATTTGAACCAGTGCTGCATTCAACATACCACGTGACACACAAAAATTGATGTTTATCAGCGTTTTTTTATATTTACTTTTAGATTAAGAAATTGAGTAATATATAGTACTAAAATTTGAATTATAATCTACAGTTTAATACCAAACTTGACATAAATTCATGAAATAGTAGTTCAATAAAATTTTGAATGAGAGTCAAAAAACAAGATGACATGGCCTTTCACCCATGACCCATAATGAAAGGATTAAAGTGATTTTTTTTCAGAACTACTGGTAATTAGTGTTAACAAAATAGAAAAACAAAAATGGTTTTTTATGGATAGTAATGAGAGTGAAAGTGTAAACAACTAATTAATATACCTTCAGACCAATAGGCAATCAAATAATGTTTATGAATGAAAGCCATGTTTCTTTGTTTTACTGAATTTTGCACAAAGCTATTTCAGAGCTATTTGCACTAGCCATCCCTAATTTAAAAGTAACAGGCTAGAGGGAAAGCAGCTAGTCAACACCACCTACTACCAACTCCTGGGCGACTCTTTATCAATAAATAGTGGGATTGACCATCACTTTATAACACTCCCACAGCTGAAAGGAGGAGCATGTTTGGTATTCAGATTCAAACTTGTGACCCACAGATTACAAGTTGAGTGCCCTAACTACCAGGCCATGCCAGCCCATGTACAAAAGAATCAATTATAATGCATAAGTATAAAGTAAAAGTTGGTTACCTGACAAAGATCCATGACAATACTCTCATGGATTTTCTGCCACAAGTGAGCTCGGAAGATTTGGATCAAAGAGATCTTCAAAGTTGGAATTTTACCATGCATGAAGATACCTGTCAGGTCCAGCTGTACTTGGAAACCAACATATACCTAACAACATGAACAAAGTTGCTGTTTATAATCAAAAGATAAATATATAATAACATCAATCAATGAACATTTCAGTATTAATAAAGTGCTATAGCTTAGCTGTGTTTGAAAACCCACGTACACTTATGAAAATACTGTAATGACCAGGATATCAAATAGTATATTATGATATTAATCACTTCATTAAATAGTTCAGTACCTGTGGAGTAAGCCTGACTGCTGTATACAGAAGGTATTATTATTAAACTAAATATTAACAATTAAAAATATCTAAATTTATTTTAGTAATTAATAGTCAAGATGTGGAATAAGCATGACAACACAAGATATTTTTAATGATCTGCAACTGTTTTATCAAAATAATTTTCAAATAAACCTTTTCTACACATCTGGTTATAGATATAACAATCATATAAACCTGAGGATAAATATAATACAAAAAAAATAATTTCAGTTTTCTCTATTCTAAAGAATTTCCTAAAGCACCAAATTATCTGATAAATCTACAAGTTTTACTTTAATGTTGAAATGTAACTTTTAGTATGTAATCTACAGTACACAAAAATAACAGTCATTTTAAACATTAAACTGCATTAATAACAAAAGTATTCTTTGCAATTTTTCTAAATGTATATTGAATTTAGACCAAATAAGAATTTCAAAACATTTAAATGATGAGTTGCAAAGATCCATGAATCAAGACATGTTTGAAATGTTGAGTATTAAACTTGCAAGTACCTGCTACTCTGGCACCTATACTAATACACATACTTTCCCATCACATTGTAAATGTATAATAATCAAATGAACATATCTCAGTGCACTTGATGGAATCACACCATTAAGTTGCTCATGTGCTTCAACTCTTAAAATTGGTTTACAACACAATATCCACATCTCTTTAACAGATCACTCACATTGGCCCTGTTGATTGTAGGAGACCACCACAAAGTGAAGCGACGGTTTGGGATCTGGTTAAGACCTGATCTTTGAGCATTAGTCAACTTCTTGTACTTCATACTTTCTTCAAAGCCACTGGCCTTTTCCCTGTAAACAAACAAAAATTAGTAAATTATTCTTTAAAATAAAAGCATTGAAATACACATTTTGTCTTACTAGATAATATTTCATCAGTAATCAGATTCTAAAACCAAAATATAACATTATTTTAAAATGAGTCTACAAATCTTATAAAGAACTACGAAGGTAAAATAAACTGTTCTAGTAACTTTTTCCTCTGTGTATATCAGTTACCGAACTTAAATCTTCTTGTAAACTTTATCTATGTGACAATGGAATCTTTCTTTTCTCTGTGAAAACCACATCATTTTGTTTCCTTACATTGTTATCATGGTCTTCAGAAACAGAATTATGACAAAGAAAATGGTTTGTATACTTAACATGTCTTCTAGATGAAAAAAAAATCAAAACATGACCAGCATTTATAATTGTATCCTTCAAAATAGACAAGAAAAAAAAAAAAATCATATTACATAAGTTATAATGTGTAACAAAAGTCACATAAAAAAAGTCCAAATTCCATTTCATGTGAATTTGTATTTAATTTTGTAGAAAGGCAGTCTTGGTTCAATCCCTGATACACAGTTTACTACCTTATGAAGGAGTTCTGGATGACTGAATATGAAATTTTTAGAAAGACAACAGGCCATATTCAGAGGAGACTGATTCTTCAAAACAGTCTCCTGTCATGAACAGTAAACACATTGAATAACTATGAAACTTTGCCAATGACTTACAACTTTTAAGACATTATACAAGCCAACAAAAAACAACATCAAGTTTCTCCTCACCAGAAGAGACCTTCCCATGTGGGGAAGTATGTGCCTTTGAAAAGTGTGTGCTCCAATATTCCTTCTACTCCCCCAAGAGCTTGGATCATGTCTGTACGGTAGTTATTTAAGTTCCATAATTTTCCATCATGACGCTGGTGTGTCCACCAGAAAGGATTTTGTTTCAACACCTAATGTGCCCAAAAGTATAGCTATTTAGTGTTTGTTCACAACAAAACATATAAAAAAAAATTAACGTATGCTCTGTTTAATTCTAATATCATTCGTACATCACATATAGCCATGAACACATCCTTAAAAATATGATCAAATTTCAAGAAAAAATTATTTTTAGTAACCACACAATTATAGTATTGTAAAAATTTAAAATTGTATAAACACAGAAGTCCGACCAAACCAAAACTTATTTTACCTTTTCTATATTTTTTTTTAATAATTTACTTCAACCAACTATTTCTTTTGCGGTACTACATACGTATTTCTTTGTTAAAACATTAATTACCTCTATTATATATTCTGACTGTTTTTACCAAGTTAACTAATACACCATCTAAATTATCTGTCCAGTATATATATTTATTTATTTATTTTTTTAAAGCAGAAACTTAAGCAAATATTTCTTTAAAACCTCCTTTGAAAACAGAAGTAGTACCTGGTATTGTTTGAAATCTGTTCGAACTCTCCATCCCTTGTCATAGGCTAGTGTGTGCCTGTCCTTCTGGAACAAAGTATTAATCCTTGGAATACCTCTATCCCAACTGTCTTCCAAATCTTCCAGAGTCAATCGCCTGGAATAATCATCAACCTGTCAGTATTAAAGCACACAAGCTAATTCTTTCAATATTAAGGTACTCAACCATCACTCCATCTGTACCTCAGTTTTCAATAATCAGTCTGCTAAAGTTTATCAATATTTTGGTATAAAGCCATCAATTTTACATTACTGTAATTCTGGACTATTAGACAATGGCATTACAGTAATCACATTTAGTATGTCAGTAGTACAGTTCTCAACAATCCTTCAGTATTGTAATTTTCAGATACTAGCAAATAGCATTACAATGGTTGACATTTAGTGTATTAGCTTATCATGGTACTCAACTATCACATTGCTAGTATTATGGTATCGAACTTTCAATCTGTCACAAATACAGGACTTAACCATTAGTTCATCAGTATTTTAGTTGTCATACTGCTGAGCTTAATAAAAATTATATCGGTCAACTAACCACTTCAACACAGTTTTTTACTGGCCCATTAAGATAGGAAGTCTTTAGCTGTGTTGAAGTTTGTTAAAAATTCCTATTTAGATGTTAATAAATAAATCTCTAGTAAATAGTTATAAAAGATTATAACAAAGAAAAATGTCTTACATTTGGTTTGACACACTAAGACATAGATGGTGGAGGTTAGGAGTATCATGTAGTAGAATTATTAAGTTGGTATTTATTCTACTTTATGGATATTTTAGAACTTTAAAGGGTGAAGGATGGTAGGCATTGTTTAGTAGAAATCTATATTTTTTGGGTGGCTTAATTAACTGCCTTCCCACATCTGGCTGCAGACAGTGAAAGGCAATAAGAGTTCAGATGCTGCAACTCTGTACCTTTATTGAATCTTTAGTTTATTAAAAATACTTCACTACAAAATATGATTTTTTGTATGTAAAAGATTTATAATGTTAACTGAAAGACTGCCAAATTTTGTGAAGATATACACACTATATTGAGAGTTAGAGGTATTAAATCTATAAAGACTTCAAACGAGTAGAAAGAGATCATGTGGTCGGTCAATTTGACTACCCAGTGTTGAGAGAGAGTTAATGCCATAACATTACATTACATGAATATTTTTGTACTGGCAAATATCTAAAAACAATACTTTATATTAAATACTAGCCAATTACAAAAAGAAAAAAAAAAATCAAATGTGAGAAAACAATATATATTTAAAACCTCTTTAAAATGTACATTACTGTTAAAAACTAATAACTAGAGATTTCATATAAATATTGTAGATCTACAGAGACAGAGCAGAATACCCACACTACCTGTTTTGGGCAAGTGCTTCTTGTCTTTTCAGAGCATATTCAGCCCATACACGCTGAGAGTCAATAAACTCACTCTCCCAGGGCTGGATATAGCGATACAAGTTAGGAATAACTTGATCTTCATCATGGCTCATGCCTGATCGAAAGTGGGTGATACCAACATCTGTTTGCTTTGACCATCTGGAAAAATAAGTTTTATTTTGAGTTTATCTAAACTGAAAAAAAAACTACATTAACAGTAATATAGTTGTACCAGAGCTTTAACATTTGTCTGGAGCAGGATAAAATGTGTGTGACATTTTTTATCACCTTCAAATAAGTCCAACTATCTTCAATCTTCAAAACTTTTTTAATTAAAAAAAAATGTATCTTACAGTCTTCAAATGGATTTTCATCTTTTATATAAAAAAAATTAAATTAAGTTTCTTTTCACAATCATACTATAAAAGTTGTGCTTTTAAAGCAGGTTGTAACAAAATGTACTTACAATTGAAACCGTAATGCCACATATGCTAAAATTAATGTAACACTGTACCTACTGATGATTTAAAAAGATCCAAAACTCACCTTAAGTCAGATTGTGGAATAAGTACATGACCCATAGATAACATGCCCAGGCCACCCAACTCTTTGGGAGTGTAAAAAACAACAGGAGGAAATCTGCTTGGCATTTTGGAATTAAGTCCAATCTTGATTCTTGTCTGAATCTTGTTTTCACACTTCACCAGTAGGTCTAATAGTTCTTGTGTGTTTACCACAGCTTCACGGAAGTACGTCATCAGACCAATCAGAGCTGTGTTCCACTTGTTTACAATCTATGAAGGAAAAAGAGCAATGTTTATACTTAAAACAAAAACATTTTATCAAAAGAATTATCAAAACTATGTGCTGCAAAAAAATTCTACTTTGATTTCAGTAAATTTAGTACATGACCACTTGCTACAAGAGTTGCAAATGTTTACAGAGCCTCTGGCTTCATTCAGCTTTATATAAAACTTTCAAACAAATACTTATAAACAAAGCATTTTTTCTTAATACTGAAAGATCACTAAATGTACACACAAAGCATATTTCAAAAGTAACAGCATGTTGATAAGTAATACAAATAAAGATATATTATGATAGTTAGCAGCTGAAATACATACTTTAGCAATCAAAGTTAACATACTCCAAAAAGTAAAATTAACGACATGTGCCACTGGTTAGTCAATTTACAAAGATCTCCAGTATTTCGCTTGAGAGCATTTTATATCAAAACACAATTATTATTGAACAACTCTAAATATCAACAAGTTAATTAAAAATAAGAAAACAGTAGAATAACTTACTATATGTAACCCTAAGATTAATACATTTTTAAATGAAAATATGAACATTACAATATTCACTGTACAAAGGAGTATTGACTACAGGTAGAAATAAGACAAAATACCTCATATAATTATAGAAGATCAAAATCAATATTTTTTTAAACTTATCAGGCAGTTAAAAACACAATAAATTTGTAGTTATATTTAAGTGCCATAGAAATACAAGTTAAAAATTAAGACCAAGTCATTTTTCAATAATTTGCTCCAACCCTGGTCCTGCAAGCTCACAAAGTTAGTGCAACAGCCAGCCTTTGCAATCACTTGGTTGAAAAATTGAGTCAGAAGCAAGTGATGTCAGTCAAGGTAAACAAGGCCAATCTTGGTCTGCTTCCTCTGTGTGCATGAAAAACTGTTGGTTTGTTTATGTGAAAACAATTCATTTTTTGTTTTGTTTTCTGGATAAATTTCATTTGACAGATGTTGTGAATACAGTTATTCATGAGTAAGCAACTATGGTTACTCACTGTGTTGTTTATGGATGTGGGAACATTCCCAAGGAAAATGAGGTATCTCTTGCACAAGTTTCCACCAATGTCAGACAGAAAACAGCATATTGCCTGGACAAAGTTCATATCAAGAACTTGTGATAAATGGAATCCGCCAAAAGCTACCATGTATGCAGTGAACACTTTTTGAAATCAGACTTCTAAAACAAATTACAATTTGATATGGGATTTAAAAACAAAACTGGCACTAAATAAAGATGCAGCACAGCGAGCATCAGCCAGGCTCATGCCAGTGGTACATCATGCTCTTGTTCACATACCAATAACAGTGATGATAGTCGTGTCCAATCAGCTGTTCAAAAAGGAGAGGTATGCAGGGTAAGCTCAGGTTTTAGCAAAAAATGTTTTAAGTGCAATTGTCAGCAGCCATTCAGATTTTATAAACATACCAGTAGATCTGCTAAAACAAAAAATTATGAAATTTCACTCTCAGCTATTATTTACCAAAAAAAAGGGGCATGGACAAACAACTAGCTGTTCTTTTAATTAATTTTTCATGTTTAACACATTTTTAAGAAATTTAATTGACGATATCAATATGCAACATAAAAAATGCAAGATCTACAATATCGATTATCAAAATATTATTGTAGTTATGTTTGATTTTCCAGTCCTAATGCATACTTAGTCATATGCATAAAAATCGGAGCATGTGCAGAATACAGTATTGGGAGTCCATCAGCTGGTATTAGATCTACATCTAGATATATATCCATCACTTGAAAAAACAAATATTGACTAGAATTTATTCACAGATTTACAATATTATCACCCATGTGACCACATTGACAGCTGCAAATTTTGGCCCATTTTCTTGAAATTAGCAGTGTAAAACAGTCTTTTATGACATTGTAACATATAACTACTGAAACAATTCCATACCAAGAAAGATCAGACAACTGCCAGTCCTCAACTACATCGGCCAACATGTCAACATTAGACACATTATCGTCTGTAAGCTTTGGTTTAAACATATACAGTGAGATTGATACATTACATCTATATTCCTCTTCACCTGCTGTCACAATTTTTGTTTACCTTGTGTGACGTAGGTTTGCCCGCCCAGTTCATCATGTAGTGCTTCCACTAGTTTGTTTAAGGTTGGCCAACCATGACCAAATATGGCTCGGAGCCACATGAGCTTGAGTATTTCGTGACTTTTTTTAAATTGTATTATTTTTTGTGCATTATAATATACACACTAAAGCATGAAAAATACCCTATTGTCTGTGGTCTTTAAACCCTGGACCTTATGTCACAAAAAAACATTTCGTTTTCAATGTAATCTTTAGATTTTTAACTCACACTAAAAACATGCACTAGAGTACCTGTGCCATGCACAATGAGGATTATGATTTTTTTTTCTGAAATATGCCAGTGGCAATACAAAAAAAAGTACAAAAGAATAAAATTATTCATGTTCACTGGGCTTCATTACTTAAAAAACATTTTATATTTTATTTATCAAAAACAAGCAAGTAACATTTAACTTTAAAACATCTCACTTAATATATCTATAGACATCTATGTCTATATCTTGAAAGTATGTATAAACAGTGTGTGAAAAAGAAATCCCCTCAAATGATTAATGGGATATGAAAAAAATGCAATTTTAGAATTAACGTTTAACCAGTTATGAATATGTGTTTCTGTTTTTGTTCTAAGTATGCCAATAATGATTGAAAGTACATACTGTTTGTATACCTCATGTAATGAAAGAGGCAACAGGAGATATTCCATTAGTAACCCCAGTGGCCACCTCCACCAATATATATTTAGCCATCATGAGAGCTACGAAATCTAAGCATTTTGGAATAAAAATAACTTCACACATATTGAATCATTCTTAGTTGATTAAATCACATATGACAGGTCCAACTGCAAAATTTATTTCAATTTATCTCAAATTATAGTAGGACTTGGGTAAATACTGATTAATAGAGATTTTTGAAGGTTGTTTATTTCATGTCTATATTTCATAAATTTAGCTTGTTCAGGTAAATAAAATTGTACAACAGCAAAGCCTCACACTCAATTAACTACCTATAACTACATAAAACTAATCAAAACAAAAAAATGTATGGGGATATGGAGCTACAAACAAATGCTTATAGTTGTAAACAATTTAAGACATGACTTATAAATACCTTAGTGAATGTGGTAGAGCCTGATGCCATTAATATCTGTCGAACCCTGTTGTGAAACCTCTGCATAGATTCTTCATCAACACGCAAGAAACATTGAGCTGTTCTTTCTTTGGTCACCTGATAAGAACAAAACCTTATTCTTACCCAAAAACACTACCTTTATATAGTTACAACATTTTCAACTAACAAGCTTCTATCTCTAAAATTATCATGACAAATTCTAAACTTCATTAGGTATAATACAAAAACTGGATATTAAAATAGTACTTAAAGGAACTCTGTAAGTGACTTTATAAACCTTTTAAATTCTTTAATATACTGTTTGTGTTTACTTATATTACAAAATAGATATAAAATGACAAATGACAGTTTTTGTAAGACAATGTCTATTAAACATGAACATAATTTTTAGATTAAATTGAAATTATGATTTATGTAATATATACCCAAAAACAATTTAGTATTGAAACTATTTTGGCTGAGAAAGCAACCATCCGATACTACTTCACCACAAAATTTATTTGATTTGTACATATGATGTTTATATATACTTCATTCTGCAGATTCCAAACTCCATCTTTATGAGTGAATTCTTCGTGCGTCATGCGGATTTTAGGTAAAATTCGACATTCAAATCCACTCATGTTGAAGAGAAGATTTGGGTTATCCTTGCTATACACCGATACAAAACTGTTCTCCCATTGTATTGTGGTTACTGATCGTGGTAGCCGATTCTTTATGTCCCAGAACACAGCACGTCCACTATAGAGTTAGAAAAATATCAATTAAACATATTTTCCAGAGCAAGTTTCCATCACTCCCAGAAAGTGTCTTGTGAGTACATATTATTGTATATTATACAGAATTATACATGATCACTATTTCAAATAAACAGAATACATCATACTGTAACATACATGCACTTTATTTTAATACTACTGAAAAGTTTAATATACAAAATTAACATAAGACAACCTGGTTTGGTTTTCAGCTTCTAATTCTCTTAATTCTTGAATGTAAAAAGGATATCATACTGAAAATCTCAAATTTATGTATTAATTGAAACAGATAATAAAAAATTAAAGTCATTTATTATTATATAGAAAAAAGGAAAATATAAATAACTAGTTCAAAATTTTATTCAAAATACTTATCTTTTTTGTAGAAGACTACTTTACAAGTTTTTTAATCAACATTTATCAATATTTTTTTAATAACAATAGATGCACATCAACTGAAAACTTACAGGTTTACATCGTGTTTCATCAACCTCATTCTAGCATCTCTTGGCCAACATTTTTTGTTATTGTAGCCTACAATATTCTCATTGTTTGGATCTGGATGTTCTGTCAGATACCTTTGAATCAAGTCTCGAGCTTCTTCTGCTGAGAATCTATAAAAACAGGATATTTTGTGAAACTTATGTTTAAAACTTCAAATTGAAGCAACTAATTATATTAGCAATATTTTTAAGAGACTTGTTTAAATTCAGTTTGTGATTGATATTAAGCATCTTAAAATGTGTGGCATGCTAATTTCAAAGTAAAACCCATATACAAGTTAATAAGCAACTTAATGTCTATCTAGATTAATTTAACAGTTTAAGTAAATACCTGTTTATTAGGTTTTTACTATATTTTTACGGTCATTCACATTTGTCTTGCTTAAAAAAATGAAAAGCTGAGTGAATAAATTAATAATCAATATATATGTGTGTGTGTGTGTGTGTGTGTGTGTGTGTGTGTGTGTGTGTGTGTGTGTGTGTGTGTGTGTGTGTGTGTGTGTGTGTGTGTGTGTGTAGTAAGTAAGTAAAGACGTAAGTAGTAATAAAGTACGTACTAACTAATAAACTTAAACGTAAAACTAACGTTACCGTTTACCGTAC